GATACCAAATGAGAGACTTCCCCCTGGGCACACAGAAGACTGGGCGACTTGGAAGGGGCTGAACAGACTGCGCTCTGGCACCACGAGATGCAGAGCCAACCTTCAGAAATGGGGCTACAAAGTGGAATCCACAACATGCGAGTGTGGAGAGAGCAAACCACTGACCACCTGCTGCAATGCAACCTGAGCCCTGCCACATGCACAATGGAGGACCTTCTTGCAGCAACACCAGAAGCACTCCAAGTGGCCAGCAACTGGTCAAAGGACATTTAATCAACTACCAAACTCACAAATTTTGTATCTTTCTGTTTTTTTGTTGTTGCTTTGTTCTGTTAGAAATGTAATATAATCGACTGGTTGCACTGACACGATAAATAAATGTACATATTCATATGTTTAGTCATATGCAACCCACTCTAGTAACCCACAAGACAACATGGAGTAGTGCAATGACAATTTGAAATGGCCATGGATTATAGTTTTGGATTGTTGTTGTTGTTCATTCGTTCAGTCGCTTCCGACTCTTGGTGACCTCATGGACCAGCCTAGGTCAGAGCTCCCTGTACGGCTATGTTCTAAAGGCATTCTCTCCTGATGTTTCTCCTGCATCTATGGCAAGCATCCTCAGAGGTAGTGAGGTCTGTTGGAACTAGGAAAAGGGGTTTATATATCTGTGGTGTAATGTCCAGGGTGGGACAAAGGACTCTTGTCTGCTAGAGCTCTAAAATTACAACAGCAGAACAACAGAGAGGAAACAATCTGGGACGTCTAATCACCTCTCAACAAAATATTGCCCCAGGCACTGTCAGGCCATCAAATGCTAATCAAGATGGTCAGTTGAAACATTCACACCTAGCTCCAACAGACAAGAGTTCTTTGTCCCACCCTGGTCATTCCACAGATATATAAACCCTTTTTCCTAGTTCCAACAGACCTCACTACCTCTGAGGATGCTTGCCATAGATGCAGGCGAAACATCAGGAGAGAATGCCTCTAGAACATGGCCATATAGCTCGGAAAAACCTACAACAACCCATTTTATTGTTTCTTTCCCATTTACATTATTGTTTCCCATGTACATCTTCATATGTTTCGGCTCTTATATGCCATTAATTTTGTCTCTTATATCTTTGAAGTGCACATTGATGGCGTATATAAATAAATATTATTTTTTATTCGTGTGTGTGTGTGTGTGTGTATAGCAGGGGTCCTCAAACTAAGGCCCGGGGGCCAGATACAGCCCTCCAAGGTCATTTACCCGGCCCTTGCTCAGGGTAAACCTTAGTCTGAAACTACTTGAAAGCACACAACAACAACAGTCCTATCTCATCAGCCAAAAGCAGGCCCACACTTCCCATTGAAATACTAATAAGTTTATATTTGTTAGAATTGCTCTTCACTTTAATGGTTTTATTGTTTTTAAGTGGGTTTTTTTGCAAATATGATATGTGGAGTGTGCATAGGAATTCATTCATTTTCCCCCCCTCAAATTATAATCCGGCCCTCCAACAGTTTGAGGGACCGTGACCTGTCCCTCTGTTTAAAAAGTTTTAGGATCCCTGGTGTATAGTATGCCTTTGAGAAGACTCAATTATTTTCAGCTCTTATATTTTTGAAGTGTACATCAATGGTGTATTTAAATAACAACAACAATAGTAGTAGTAGTAAAAATAATAATAATATACTACCATCAATGGAGTCTCGTAGAAGGGTGAGCCTATAATAATACTTTTTTTATTAATACTACTAATAGATATTATATAGCTCTTCTATGAGGTTCCATTCAAAAAGGCTGACGAAAATTTCAAATTCCTTGAAACAAATAGGACTTATCCTAAATACCTGTGTTAAATTTGATGCCACATGGAATAGCTCTGGCTTCACTTTTAAGAAACTTGGGATTTGTAGTATTGATGAGGCAGTCTTAATGGGATAAGTATATATATTGAGTTGTATACCTATAGATAGAAAGGTGATGTGATAACACTATTAAAATTTGGCTTAAACCTTTTTATTACTGGACTTCTGGACACTTTGTTTATATATTTCATTAATCTTTCAGATGTCAGAAGATGCTGCTGGTTTTTCATAAAAGGCGCTCCTCCTCAAGAAAGTATTAGAAAATGTTTGGAAATGGAAGTGTTAACATCTGGACAGCAGGTGTCGCCCCTTTGCAAAGAAACACAATGACAATTCTGGAAATTTGGGGGAGATTTAAATACATTCAGGGCATCTGATCCTCTCTGATCTTGGAAGGAATAGAAGCCCTGATTAGTGCATTTGGATGAGAGACTGCCCATAAATAATGCCAAGGAAGGAATTGGCAAATCTGACCTCTGAGCATTGTTTGCTTCACTTTGCATCTCAATCAAGAGATAAAAGAAATAATAATAATAATAATAATAATAATAATAATAATAATAATATGTTGTCGAAGGCTTTCATAGCCAGAATCACTGGGTTGGTGTGAGTTTTTCGAGCTGTATGGGCCATGTTCCAGCAGCATTCTCTCCTGATATTTCGCCTGCAGGTTGATGAACCAATCTGGACACAATGTTATTTGAGAACACAGAAATGCTGGACCACTCTGACAACCATTATGTCAGACTGCACAGGGAAGCCATTGAAACCCACAAGCATGTGGACAACTTTCAACAGAAAGGAGGAAACCATGAAAACGAACACTATCTGGTTACCAATTAAAAAACAAAACAAAACACCAGAATCAAGACAGTCATAAGGAACACCACTCAAACACGGGAATTCCAGACAACAAACAATCAAGTGCCAGTGAACTCCCAAACAGAGGGTGCCTCTAGGCAACAGAGGCCAGGCAACCCCTATGCAGATACTTTCACTGATTGACTTTGCAGCATCATGGCTACTCAGTGCTATTCAAGCTTTTTAATTGCAACATTCACACTTGCTTTAACAGGCAAGCTTCTTTCTCCCACCTTGTACATTATTCCACAGGTATATATACACTTCCCACTTGCTTCACTGCCAACAAAACCTCTGAAGATGCCATTAGCCACAGATTCAGGCAAAATGTCAGGAAAGAATGCTACTGGAACATGGTCATGAAGCTCAAAAAACAGCAACCCAGCAATAATCACCCTGTGAATTTAATCACACACTTCTCTGATTCCTAGATTCTTTGTGGTCTCAGACCAGATGAGTTTGGCAGACATACACACACATGCACACATTAACATGGCAAAGCAATTTTAATGGTCAAAGTATATGAGCAGAAGATTGCTGTCTGTTAATCTGAAGTTTAAAAGGCCGTGTTGCTGCGTATGTGCCAAATGTTTTCCCGGTTGGGTGTTAATATTGACTAATGGAGGGTCCCCTGCTGGGAATTAGATTTCGGAGGTGGATTACATTTGCCATAAACGCGATTGAGGTCAGAGGGACCCGGCGGAGCAGAAAGGGAAAGAGCTGTGGAGGAACAACGTTAAAGGCAAGGCAGGTGCAATGGCTTTTATTGCCAGGGAGATAGCAGAACCCAGTTCAGTTCTAGGGCCCCTTTCATACTGCAGAATTATAGCATCATAACTCTTAAGTGTTGTGTATTAATCCCATGCAACATGGAATTTGCCATTATAGGCACTCCCAAGTTACAACAAAGATCCAACTTAAAAATGACTCCTAGTTAAGAACAGAGTGAGACAACAAGAAAAGAGGAATCTGCCCCTCAGAAGGAAGGAAAACCCACTCCTGAAAGAGTTATCATGGGGAAAGGGGTGTTTGGGCACTGCGTTTGGTGGTCCCTATGTAGACTTGTCCACAGCTGCATGGTACTTCATGGGATAGACTGAACCACCTCAACTGGGCTCTACAGGCCAATGGAGACTCCACCTCAGACATCAGAAGAGCTGCAAGACCAAGAACAAGCCACGAGAGTAAAGATGAAGATCCAGCCAGAGGAAAAGTGTTCTTGCCATACATCAAGGGAACCACTGACCACATAGGGAAGCTGATGAGGAAACACAACATACAAACTATCTACAGACCCACCAAGAAAATCCAACAAATGCTACGTTCAGCAAAGGACAAGAGGGATCCTCTCACCTCTGCAGGAGTCTACCGTGTACCATGCAGCTGTGGACAAGTCTACATAGGGACCACCAAATGCAGCACCCAAACATGAATCAAGGAACATGAAAGGCACTGCAGACTACTTCAGCCAGAGAAATCAGCCATAGCAGAGCACCTGATGAACCAACCTGGACACAGCATTTTATTTGAGAACACAGAAATGCTGGACCACTCTCAACCACCATGTCAGACTACACAGAGAAGCCATTGAAATACACAAGCATGTGGACAATTTCAACAGAAAGGAAAACATGAAAATAAACAAAATCTGGCTACCAGTATTAAAAAACAAAATCTGGCTACCAGTATTACTACCTCTGAGGATGCTTGCCATAGATGCAGGCGAAACGTCAGGAGAAATGCCTCTAGAACATGGCCCTATAGCCCGAAAAAAACTACAAGAACCTAGTATTAAAAAAAACTCTAAAATTACAACAGCACAACAACAGAGAGGAAACAAACAAGGACATCTAATCACCTCTCAACAAAAGTTTGCTCCAGGCACTGTCAGGCCATTATATGCTAATCAAGGTGGTCAGTTGAAACATTCACACCCAGCTCCAGCAGACAAGAGTCCTTTGTCTCACCCTGGTCATTCCACAGATATATAAACCCTTTTCCTAGTTCCAACAGACCTCACTACCTCTGAAGATGCTTGCCATAGATGCAGGCGAAACGTCTCTAGACCATGGCCATATTGCCCGAAAAAACCTACAACAACCCAATAGAAAGCTCCATTTGGAAATGAAAAAATACTGAGAACCACCACAGTGGGATACTAAATGATAATGAGGAGGAGAGAAAAAAACAGGAGCAACTGTTGAAGCCAAGTTGAAAACGCATTTAAGCTCAAAAGTGGGCTAGTTCAGTGTTGAAAAGCAGCTACACTTGAAACAGAAAAATGCAACAAGGTGTTTTATGATCAGACAAAATATACAAAGGGAATTCAGTTGTTTTCTGTGTGAAAGATCACCAAGTCCACCAAACTGATGCCCTACAGGTGATTTGGATCATGATTCTGTAGTTGGGGGGTTCTGGGAGTTGTGGTCCAACAGATCTAGAAGCCATGTGAAGACTGTCCTAGATTTGACTTAACTTGGCATCTTGACCCAAGTCTTTCCAACTTAATTTCCAAGTTCCAAAACCCATCTTTCTGTACAGCTGAAATGTCCATAGCAGCTCTTCCCATCTGCCAGAGAAAGAAGCACCCTTTTGAAACAGAGAGCTGACTCCTCCAGCGGTTCATGGCAGAGAATTCCTCCGTCCCCTCCTGACTTTGGAGGACCTTCTTGGGGAAACAGGACCACCCATGTCTTCTGAACTGGACCGGGCCCTGGATGCAAAGCCATCTCTGCTTGGGTCGGAGCTCTCCCAGTCCGCACTCTCCACTTTCAGCTCCCGCAAAGCGGTGTGCAGTTGCAACAGCTTTTCCAACAACTGCTGGTCTTGCAGCTGCATTTCAGCCTGGACAAGGAAACAAAGAGGAGGTAAAAGGATTCCAGTTCTCCCTAGTCAGGAATGGACAGGGTTGCCCTGAAAATGTGATGGGATTCCTCTGTTAGATTATGGGGCAGGTCAAGTTACCAAAATTGTCCAGGATTTTTTGTTTTGTACTGCAATGGTAAAGCATTTGTAGATGCTGCAGTACAAAAAGGTAAACATTAAAAGGTTAGAGGTTGTCCCCACATTGGAAAATGTGTGCATAGGCAAAGTTTGGCCCTCCAAGTGTTTTGGATTTCAACTCCCACAATTCCTAACAGCCTATAAGCTGGCTAACAATTGGAGTTGAAGTCCAAAATACCTGGAGGGCCAAAGTTTGCTCATGCCCGCTTTAAGTTGATTCCAACTTAAGCGATTCTAATGCAAACCTATCAGGTTTGTTCAGAGGTTTCCATTGAGGCCCCATTAAGAATGCCATGTAATGCGGTTTCAGAATGCAGTTTAACTGCACTGAACTGGATTATAAGGGTCTACACTGCCATATAATCTAGTTCAATTGAGTTAAACTTCTGGGTTGTAGGTTTTTTCGGACTATATGGCCATGGTAGAGGCATTCTCTCCTGACGTTTCGTCAGGAGAGAATGCCTCTAGACCATGGCCATATAGCCCGAAAAAACTTACAACAACCCAGTGATTCCGGCCATGAAAGCCTTCGACAATACATTGAACATCTCTACGAGGAGAAACTGTTTTTAAAACTGCATTACATGGCAGTGCAAGTGGACCCTCAATGGAAGGCATTGTCAAACTTCCTCTGAACAAACCTGATAGGTTTATATCAGAATAGCTTAAGTTGGAATCAACTTAAACCAGGTATGGGCAAACTTCGGCCCTCCAGTTGTTTTGGACTTCAACTCCCACAATTGCTAACAGCCTACCAGCTGTTAGCAATTGTGGGAGTTGAAGTCCAAAACACCTAGAGAGCCAAAGTTTGCCCATGCACACAACTTCCAATGCGGGGACAACCTCTAACCTTTAAATATTTACTTTTTGGTGTATTGTTGAAGCCTTTCATGGCTGGAATCACTGGATTGCTGTAGGTTTTCGGGCTATATGGCCATGTTCTAGATTTACCTTTTGGACCAGGAGCCCCCGGTGGCGCAGTGGGTTAAAGCAGTGTGCCGGCAGGACTGAAGACCGACAGGTCGCAGGTTCGAATCCGGGGAGAGGCAGATGAGCTATTAGCTCCAGCTCCTCATGCGGGGACATGAGAGAAGCCTCCCACAAGGATGATAAAACATCAAAAATCATCCAGGCGTCCCCTGGGCAACTTCCTTGCAGACAGCCAATTCTCTCACAACAGGAGCAGTTGCTCCTGACACGACAAAAAAACCCCATCATCCATAATCTTCTTTGCTATTACAGTTAAACTACATTTTGAAACTACATTATATGGCAGTGTTTATTGGGCCTGAGAGAGAGACTGTGATGTGCCCAAGGTCACCCAGTGGGTTTCAAAAGTCAAGCAGAGATTTGAAATTTCAGGAACTGTAGTCCACTACACATCGGAGCTCTCCAACATACTCCTTGTATACTTTGCAACCTATATCCAAGCCACTGAAGAATGGCAACCAACATGACGAAAGGTTTGGAAGACAAGCCCTACAAGGAGCATCTTAAGGAGCTGGGTATGTTTAGCTTGGAGAAGAAAAGGTTGAGGGGATGTGAAAGCCATGTTTGAATATGGAAAAGGATGCACTTTGAACTGCAGTTGCATCCACTGATTTGAGTATTTTAGCCAAGGTGAGAAGTGGGAGGAGGGAGAGAATTTGACATTTTAAAAACTAGGTTGTTGTAGGTTTTTTGGGCTATATGGCCATGTTCTAGAGGCATTCTCTCCTGACATTTCGCCTGCATCTATGGCAAGCATCCTCAGAGGCATCTGTGGCAAGCATCTTTACTACCTCTGAGGATGCTTGCCATACATGCAGGCGAAATGTCAGGAGAGAATGCCTCTATAACGTGGCCATATAGCCCGAAAAAACCTACAACAACCCAGTGATTCCGGCCATGAAAGCCTTCGACAATACATTTTAAAAAATTGCAATAGCAGAAGACTAATCAGGAAGATCCCTGCCAAATCAGGGCAGTTGGAAGGCATGTCCCCACAATTATTATTATTATTATTATTATTATTATTATTATTATTATTAAAGTTTATTTGTACCCCGCTAGCATCTCCCGAAGGATTCGATGCGGCTTACACAGGCCGAGGCCTCAACACACAACACAACAATACAATCTAAGCAAATCAAACAATTAAAAACAGAATAAAGCAAAATAAACAACAGGCACAATACACTAAACACAATAAAACTGGGCCGGGCCAGAATCTGCTGGTTCCTACTTATCACTGTGACACAGGTAGTAAAGTGCTACTACTAATAGGTAATAAAATAATGAGAGCATGCTGTGATTTAGGGGAGTGCCTGGTTGAAATATCTCTTTATTAATGACACTCATGAAGTTTGATATGTTAACTCCCTTGACTCAATGCTACGGGATTGTGGCGCAGCTGGCTGAGTGTCAGCTGCATTAAGATCACTCTGACCAAAAGGTCATGAGTTCGAAGCCAGCCCGGGCTGGAGTGGGTGTCCAGCCATTGTGTAGCCCGTTGTCGACCTTTGCAACCCGAAAGACAGTTGCATCTGTCAAGTAGGAAAATAAGGTACCACCTTGTGTGGGAGGCTAAATTTAACTAATTTATGAGGCCATAAAGAAAGAAGACTCCGGGGAATGTGGAATGCGGAAGAACTTCATCGGTGTCGTTGATGGACGATGAAAAGCAGCAGCTCCCCTGGCGGCCAGAAAAAAAAAGTTAAATAGCCTTTGTCTGTTAAATGTTGTTTGTCAAACTGGCATTGAATGTTTGCCATATATGTGTTTACTGTAATCCGCCCTGAGTCCCCTGCGGGGTGAGAAGGGCGGAATATAAGAACTGTAAATAAATAATAAATAAATAAATAAATAAATAAATAAATAAATAAATAAATAAATAAATAAATACGGGATTCTGGGAGTTGTAGTTTTGTGCAGAAGAGAAAGCTGAAGAGCTTTGAGGTCAGTAGCTCCCAAAAGATTCAGTAACAGATTATGCAGGAATTCAACAGGTGTTTCCGTTACTATTCAGCACCCATTAAAAGTCTTCACCTGTTGAATCCCTGCTTGCAGTGTCGCAACCGCTTCTCTGATGGATTGAGGATGATGTTTTTCAAATTTTGCAAACTGTCTTTAGAGAAGTCACTCAAAAGGCAGACAGATCTGGTTAAGCATGGGGCAAATTTATTAGTTTCACCATTATTATTTGCATTCCTATTTTTAATCAAGGTTCTCTTTGTTCCCCCTGGTGATGGAGAAATTCATTATGAATCTGTATTTCATCCTGTGCTCAAAAAGAGAAACCAATGATGGCAGGGAAATTACATGTGTTCCCATTTTCACTGCTCTAATATATATTCCATCTGCTTCTATTTTCACTGCCAAAAATATATCTGTTGGTTAACTCGGAGCTCTCTGTTCTTTTTTGTTGTTGCTGTTTGCCTTCAAGTCTTTGTATGCTTATGTGAATCCAAAAAACGAAACAACTTATTTATTTATTTTTTTACAACATTTATAAGCCACCTTTCTCACCCTGAAGGGGACTCAGAGCGGCTTACAAGATACATGCACATATAATATATTGTATTATTAGCATAGTATTAATTGTTACTATATTGTATTATACCATTATATTGTAATATTATTAGTAATATTACATATAATATAAATATATAATTACAATATTGTAATTATTAGTATTATATTGCATTACATTATTATATATATATATATATATATATATATATACATAAAATATATTATATTACATTATATTATATTATTAACTGGATCAGCTCAGAGGTGGTTTGCCTTTGCCTTCCTCAAAGGCTGAATGTGTATCTACCTTGTCAATTAATGGAATTAAACACCAATTTACTTGCTGTGGCTCAATGCTGTTGTGGTTTAGTGATGCCTTTAATCTTTTCTGCAAAAAGACGCTGGTGTCTCACCAAATTACAACTCCCAGGATTATATAGTATTTAGTCAAAGCAGAGAAAGTGGTATGAATTTTCGTCAATACAAGAGTGTAGTTGCATCCCTAGACTGACTCACTCAAGGTCACCTAGTGAATTTCCATAGCCAAGTTGAGATTTGAACCCGGGCCCGAGTCCAGCATTCAAACCACTACATATTGAATTGGAGGAGCATTTCATGGGGAAAATAATGCGGCAATGCTTAATCTAGGCATTCAAACCCAAGTTTCTGAGAGTAAGCATAAAAAGCTCTAGATCAAGATGCATCAGCTTAACCTCACATTTGATTTAGGATGCATCTACACCATTGTATTAATGCAGTTTGACACCTCTTGAACTGCCATGTCTCAGTGCTATGGAATCCTGGGATTTGTCGTTTGATGCGGCACCAGCACTCTTGGCAGAGAAGGCTAAAGACCTTATGAAACTATGATTCCCAGGATCCCATCGCACTGAGCCATGGCAGTTAAAGTGAGGTCAAACTACATTCCAAAATAGAAGAATTTTGGAACAGTGTCACTAAAACCCAAACCAGAACCTCATAATGAATGCATTCATAAAGACCAGAGGATTAAACCTTTCCAAGTCCTTTCTATCCATGAATATGAAGAAATGTGTGGAATTTTGGAAAATTTAGGTCAAAATGAACATAAAATCCTCTGGACTTACCAGTTCTCTCCTCAGCCATGCCAGGGCTTCTTCAATCTGGACTTTCCGCTGCTCCTCTTCCAGTGACATGATGAGGACAGGGAGCTTTCGAGGCAGGCCACCAAGCGAAGAGGTGAGAGACGGAGGGATTCATATGGGCCTTGGAGACTTGTAGCCACCCCCTTCTCTCCAATGGCTCCCACCTCCTTCTCCTCTTCCTCCAGACGCTCTAAAGCTCTTGCAAAGCAGCTACGCAGCATTTCTCTCTCTCTGCCTTGCGATAGCACTGTGCTGCCAGCAACTGGTGAGAATGAATGCCTTGGCTTTGAATGGGAGAGCTGCTTTTGTGTGGGGACAGGACATTTTCCTCCTTCAGCCAGTGGCTTTTGGGGGGTAAAGGACCCACTCCACCTTTGAAATCCAGATTTTAAAGGAGCTCACCCAAGTGCTGAAGCTACTCCCCCCTCCCCCCTTAGGCTTAATCAATCAATCAATTAGAGCAATTGCTGTTGTTACTTGCCTTTAAGCACAATGCAATTTTAAAGCTGTGAATACAATGAATAAGAGGAAATGTCTATTTTAGGAAGTGTAGCATTGAAATGTGGTGCAGTGGGTTAAACCTCTGAGCTGCTAAACTTGTTGACTGAAAAGTTGCAGGTTCAAATTTGGGGAGTGGCGTGTGTCAGCCCCAGCTTCTGTCAACCTAGCAGTTCAAAAATATGCAAATGTGAGTAGATCAATAGGTACCACTCCGGCGGGAACGGTGCTCCATGCAGTCATGCCGGCCATGTGACCTTGGAGGTGTCTACGGACAATGCTAGCTCTTTGGCTTAGAAATGGAGATGAGCACCAATCCCCAGAGTCAGACACAACTGGACTTAATGTCAGGGGGAAACCTTTACCTTTACCTTAGCATCAAAATAGACTTAATAGTATAGCCAAATTAAAATACTACATATGCCGGCCCCCATTTAAGTCTTTACCTGTTGCATATACGCCAAAAGCCTAAAGCTTCCTAAAGTACAATTTTGGTCATCCCTCCACTTTTGTGGTTTTGATTTTTTATGGATTTGGTTATTCACATATTTGATTGTAAATGTAATCTCTAGGTCCACAAGTGTGACTCTATGGTCAACTGGGACCGGATTGTTGTCTTATGCTACTCTGCTTACAGAGTTATGGCTCGGGTAAAAACAGGGAAGCAAAAGAAAGCCGCAGAAAGCATTGAGGTGAGCAAGGATGTTATGTTGGAGGACCTCTCAGGGTCTGTAGATCCCCCAATGTAATTATGTGGTCAGTTTCTAGGAGATATTGAACACAGAATGTATTTATTTATTTACTACTAGCTGTCCCCTGCCACACGCTGTGGCTCAGTCTGGTGACCTGGAAAATAAACTAATGAGAAAATAGGTGACTGTGGGTCCGTAGGTGACTGTGGAGCGCTATTCTTGACCTGCATCTTCTCCCACAGTGAGGGCATCGGTTTCTAGGTGGAAGGCGATCCCGGTCAGGGTTGGCTTGATGCACCTTCCTCTTGGCACATTTCTCTCTTTCGCCCTCCATTCGTGCCTCTTCAAATTCTACAGCACTGCTGATCACATCTGACCTCCAGCTGGAGCGCTCAAGGGCCAGGGCTTCCCAGTTCTGGGTGTCTATGCCAGAGTTTTTAAGGCTGGCTTTGAATCTTTCAATCTCTTTTCCTGCCCACGAACATTCCATTTTCCTGGGTTGTTGTAGGTTTTTTCGGGCTATATGGCCATGGTCTAGAGGCATTCTCTCCTGACGTTTCGCCCGCATCTATTCCAACAGACCTCACTACCTCTGAGGATGCTTGCCATAGATGCAGGAAACGTCAGGAGAGAATGCCTCTAGACCATGGCCATATAGCCCAAAAAAACCTACAACAACCCAGTGATTCCGGCCATGAAAGCCTTCAACAATACATTCCATTTTCCATTCTTGCATCCGGAGTAGAGCAACTGCTTTGGGAGACGGTGGTCGGGCATCTGGACAACATGGCCGGTCCAGCGGAGTTGATGGCAGAGGACTATCGCTTCAATGCTGGTGGTCTTTGCTTCTTCCAGCACACCGACATTTATCCGCTTGTCTTCCCAAGAGATTTGCAGGATTTTTCGGAGGCAGTGCTGATGGAATCATTCTAGGAGTTGCATGTGACGTCTGTAGATAGTCCATGTCTCGCAGGCATATAGCAGGGTTGGGAGGATAATAGCTTTATAAACAATCACCTTGGTATCCCTACGGATGTCCCGGTCTGCAAACACTCTCTGCTTCATTTGGAAAAATGCTGCACTCGCAGAGGTCAGGCGGTGTTGTATTTCAGTGTCAGTGTTGACTTTGGTGGAGAGGTGGCTGCCAAGGGAGCAGAAATGGTCAACATTTTCTAATGTTACACCATTAAGCTCTATTTCTGGCATTGGAGAGGGATTGGCTGGTGACTGCTGGAAGACCAATTTGGTTTTCTCAATTTGGTTTTGGAAACTGTACATGTGAAAGGGATCTAGGAGAGTTAGTAGGCCAAAAGCTGAACATAAGTCAATAGTGTGATGCAGCAGCTTAAAAAGCCAGTCCTCTTTGGGGAGATAAAACAGGATATAAATAAATACAATAATAAATGCATAAATGTAAAGGTTTCCCCTTGAAAATAGTTGAGTCTGACACTGCGGGGTGGCGCTCATCTCTATTTCTAAGCCAAAGAGCCGGCGTTATTGTAGACACCTCCAAGGTCATGTGGCCAGCATGATTACACGGAGTGCTGTTACCTTCCTGTCGAAGCAGAACCTATTGATCTACTCACATTTGCATGTTTACAAACTGTTAGGTTGTCAGAAGCTGGGCCTAACAGTGGGAGCTCACCCTGTCTTGCAGATTCAAACTGCCAACCTTCTGGTCAGCAGCTTCTGCAGCTTAATGGTTTAATCCGCTGTGCCATCACGGCCCCTAGGAAAATAATACCTAGATCAAGGGAAATAATAGTATGAGTTCTGTTCTGCTTTGGACAAACCTCACTTGGAATAAAACTGTCCAGTGCATCTGCACTGTGGAAGAAGCATGGGCAAACTTGGGCCCTCCAGGTGTTTTGGAGTTCAACTCCCACAATTCCTAACAGCCTACTGGCTGTTAGGAATTGTGGGAGTTGAAGTCCAAAACACCTGGAGGGCCCAAGTTTGCCCATGCCTGCTATAGAAACTTGATACCATTCTAACTGCCATCTCAATGCTGTGGAATCCTGGAAGTAGTAGTTTCACAAGGTCTTTAGTCTCCTCTGTCAAAGAGGGCTGGTGTATCACCAAACTAGTCCCATAGCATTGAGCTGTGGCAGTTCAAGTGGTGTTAAACTGCATTACTTCTTCAATGTAGGTGTTCCTTTACAATACAACATCTTTGTCAATTCTCAGCCACATTTCTCATGATTGTAGCACCGGCGAGAAACGATCTTGCACACTTATCAGCCGACTCCGATGCCTTGTTGTGAGCCACGGAGGTGCGTTGCCAAGGAAACCTTGCCACACATGGTTGTCACGATGCGGCAATGCCTCCTCACTTGTTGGCACGCTACAGCGCCTTTTCAAAGCCCCTGCCCTTCATTTTGCTCCCCCTTTTGCTGTCTGGCACAGAGTGTCTTGGAAAGCATGCACTCGGGGAAAGCAAATGCTGGGGAAATAACAAATGTCCTTGGGAAAACATGTCCTGGGATGGAACGGAAGGAGAGGCCGGCCTTTGGGCCTTTGTCAACATCCTCTGCGGACAATGAGAGCATTGGCACCCGGTCTTGGTAGCATTTTGGCCTGAGTTCATGGAAACCTGGAGTTGGAGGAGACCCCATGGGCCATCCAGTCCAACCCCTTATGCCATGGAAGAATACACAATCCCTCCCAACAGATAGCCATCCAGCCTCTGCTTAAAAGCCTCCAGAGAAGGAGACTTCACCAGACTTTAAGGCAGCAGCAAATTTCACTGTCAAACAGCTCTTATCATCTATATAAATACAAATAGGTGCCACCGGTGGCACAGTGGGTTAAACCCCTGTGCTGGCAGGACTGAAGACCGACAGGTCGCAGGTTGGAATCCAGGGAGAGGCGGATGAGCTCCCTCTATCAGCTCCAGCTCCTCATGCGGGGACATGAGAGAAGCCTCTCACAAGGATGATAAAAAACATCAAATCATCCAGGTGTCCCCTGGGCAACGTCCTTGCAGACAGTCAATTCTCTCACACCAGAAGCGACTTGCTCCTGACACGACAAAAAAAATCTATATAAATAAAAATGTAATGTTCGTTTGTGGGATTAACAGAACTCAAAAGGCACTGGACGAATTGACACCAAATTTGGACACAAGACACTTAACAACCCAATGGATGTCCTTCACTCAAAAAATTGATTTTGTCATTTGGGAGTTGTAGTTGTTGGGATTTATAGTTCACCTACAATCAAAGAGCATTCTGAACCCCACCAATGATAGAATTGGACCAAATTTGGCACACAGAACTCCCATGACCAACAGAAAATTCTGGAAGGGTTTGGTGGGCAATGTCCTTTGGTTTTGGAGTTGTAGTTCACCTACATCCGGAGAGCAGTGAGGATTCAAACAATGATGGATCTGGACCAAACTCTACACAAATACTCAATATGCCCAAATGTGAACACTGGTGGAGTTTGGGGAAAATAGAATCTTGACATTTGGGAGTTGTAGTTGCTGGGATTTATAGTTCACCTACAATCAAAGAGCATTCTGAACCTCACCAATGATAGAATTGTGGGCCAAACCTCCCATACAGAACCCCTATATGGGTCACAGCAATGCCTGGCAGGGGACGGCTAGTCATCTATATAAATAAAAATGTAATGTTCATTTGTGGGATTAACATAACTCAAAAACCACTGGGAGAATAGACACCAAATTTGGACACAATACACCTATCAGGCCAGTGAGTGATTATCACTCATAAAAATACCAAAAAACACAGCAGAAGAGACTTGAAAAGCCAAAAAACAAAACAAAAAAAACCACATTACAACATATGCGCAAAACCAAATATGCACAAACACATATACACAAATATATACACACACATATACACATATATATACACAAAACACATATACACAGAATGGGCCACAGCAAAACATGGCAGGGGATGGCCAGTAGAATATAAATATAATAAAAAATAATGTTCGTTTGTGGGATTAACATAACTCAAAAACCCCTGGGCGAATTGACACCAAATTTGGACACAATACACCTCTCAGGCCAACGAGTGACCATCATTCATAAAAACACTATAAAATACAGAAGAGAATTAAAAAGACAAATAATTTTTAAAAATGACAATACATGCGCAAAACCACGTATATATACACACACATACATACACAAATATATACACACACACATATGCACAC